TTCCCATGGGCAACAAGATCGGGCCACGGCCCGCCCCTGGACCTCACCTCCCTGCACCCTCCTCTTAGTCACAAGGCCCCCCAACACACTTGCTTCTTGCTGTCCTGAAAAACACCACGCTTGTGCCTACCTCAGGGCCTTTGCACTTGTCCCCTCTGCCTGCAAAGCCCTTTCTGTGGCTGCTTCTTTGGCATCACTCAGGTCTCTGCTCACATGTCACCTCTTCGAGGACGCTTTCTCGCTAAAGCAGCTCCTCGGCCTTTCTCTATCCTTCTACCTGGTGTGCGTGAGTGTCTACAATGGTTCTGTTTATTATGTCTTCCCAGATTTCCTGCCCAGCTGCCCCTTCTACAATAAGAACTCCTTGGAGACAGGGACTCTGTTTTGCGTCCCCTGGCGTCCTTGGCACCTCACACAGTGCCTGGTACATAGCAGGCCCTCATTCTCTGTGAGTTGGGCACTGAATCAAGATAAGCCTATGTGGTCCCTGCCCCGGAGGGACCCAAGCTGTAGGAGAATAACTAGAAAGCTCCTAGGACAAAATTTGAGGGAGGGAGGAGGAGCTGGCCCAACCCAGAAATTGCAAGGTTGGCAGGGTGGCTTTGCCGACTTTTTCACGCCCTGGCCTTTGGCCAGGGGTCGACAATGGGGATATATATCACTCTGGTGAACTGTACCCCAACAGAGGAAGCTGCACAGGCAGGAGGGGAAGTGGGGTCAGCTAAGGACTCTATCAAGTTCACCTATCTAGCCCCCTGTCCCCAGGTGGACTGCATGTGATCCAGCGCCTCTCCCATTTCTAAGTCTCCAAGGAGGACACCCCCCCACCCCTGCACCCGCCACCTCACTAGACTGTGAGCTTCCTGAGGGTAAGGTCTGTGCCTTTATGGCACAGAAACCGAGGAGCCAAGCATAGTACCTGGCATCCAGGAGGCTCTCGGTGACTGATGGTTGAACAAATAAATTTAAGTCTACCTGTTCGTGTAATTGGGAAAGCCTTGAAAATAATCACAGCTCAGCTTCCCGGTCAGTTTGTCGATTTCTAGTCCTCTGCAGTGATGGAAAGCAACACCTAATGGTACACTAATCGCTGTTATTTACTGAGTGCTTATCATGTGCCAGGCACTATGCTAAGTACTTATATTATCTTATTAGACAACAACCGTGCAAGGTGCTTGCTATTATGAATATACCCATTACACAGATGAGGAAACCGAGGCCCAGAGAATAAGTCTCGCAAGGCTGAGCTGGGCTGTCTGACTCCAGAGCCAGTGCTTTATCACTCCCAGGACTAGCCTCACTCCCCAACTTATTCCAGTGCAATGAACATTTTCACTTTTGCTCAGAGTTCATAAAAAGATGAAACTTGAATGGGAGAGAGGAAGTAGAACAAATCTGTCCTGTAATTGTGACTCTTATTTCCATCTAGTAAAAGACAAAGAGAAGCAAAGACATCTCAGGACCAAGAGGCAGACTTTGTACACAGTAAGTACTCAATACATGTCGAACAAGAATCGCTATTTTTCAATTAAAAAGTTACATTCTCTGTGCTTATTTTCCTTTTTCCTAAGTGGCTCTTGGTTTTCGAGGTTTTCCTTGGGTGAGGTCTGCGTTTTTTCAGGTTCACTGGGCCTAGCGTGGTGCTACCGTCAGAGCTGGTGCTCGATGGATGCTTCCTGACAATAGACGAACAAATGATTGAGATAAGTGATTATGGTGATTACCGGGCAAGTTGTAATTAAAAATAAAATTTTAAAAAGCTGAGTGCATTTCTTTTATTTACCAAAGTGTCTCTCTTGGGAAGGGGGGATGAGAGAGGGGCTTTTTCTCGGACGCTACGCTAAGCTGGGCTCCCCGAATTCCATTCAAGTTGACGAACTTAACAAATCCTTCCACCCCCCAAATTCCCTCATTCTTTTTGCAAAATACGTGATGCTTTGTTTTTGACTATATACATAGTATGTGTTTATTGTAGGAAATTTAGAAAATACAGATGAACAGGAAGAAGAAAATAGAAATCATCTGTAATCCCACCACCCATGAATAATCACTGTTGACAGTTTTGGTGTATTTCCTGCCAGTCTAGGTTTTCTGTTTGCTTTTTGTTTTTTGCTTTGTTTTGCCTTATAAAATTAGAATCACACTGAACATACCGTTTTTTCTTCCCCCTAGCCTGCCATGTATACGTCGTAGCATGAACATTTTCTCACGTCATTAAATATTCTTCTACAACATGATTTTTAATGGCTGTATTG